CTCAGCAACATAGCTGTATCTTTCTGCAATCGGCCTTTACCTGTCAATTTTGCTGAGCAGTTGCTCTAAAGTTGTGTGAGCTATAAGCATATGCTGTGCTCTCTTTCTTTTCTAGAACTATTTTAGCCACTTTCCTTTTATTGTGCAGTTTTGGAGGTGATTATTCCTCTCCAGGTCTAGTACTTTGCCCTTCTTGTTACTGAATTATATATATATATATATTTAATTCCAAATTATTATCTCATTTTGTCAAAGCATTTTAAATTCTAGTTTTGTTCTCATTCTTCTTTCAGTGCCTCTGAGTTCGGTACTGTCTGCAGATTTATCAGCCCTGCTTCCAGCTTCATCCACGGCTAGACCAGGAGGCGGCTGCCCAAAGCCAGTTTTTAATCCCTCCAGCCCAGCTCTAACCCCTGGGGGAGGCACCAGCTGCAGCTTCTCAAGAGCTTGCACAAAAGATACTGCACTTTTTACAGGAGGGATAACAATTCGAAACCCGTGATGCCTGTGAAGAGTTCAGCTGGCGATAGCACGGCTGTGAGGGACGAGGGGGTTGAGCACGGTGTGTGGCAAGAGATGTGGTGGTGGCTGGGCGGTGCTGTATGTGGTGCTCAGCGTGCAGAATCTGGTCCCAAAAGGAAGCAACAAATGCATGATGTAATCAGAAATACATCAACTTTCAGGCAGAATACAGAGTCTTGGCTGTTGGCTCTGTAAAACTCGGTGCTGATGAGCCAAATCTCTGATCGTTGTGCGTGTGCACACACACAGCTCCTCGCTGAGATTGAAAACTTACCTATTTTGTTCAGTTTTAGCCTTCCTGACCTGCTTTCAGGAAATCTCCCACACGCCCCAAATACATTATTGTTTGATATAGTCCTGCTGACATGATTACTCAGAACATCAAAGGCAGCCTGTCCTGTTAACTGAAAAAGAAACACACAGCTCATTTGGAAAGCTGCCCCTGCTTGGGGTGGGAGAGCACCACGTGAGAAAACCCCAAATTCATTTGTTTTGGGTTTTCCCTACTGACTAAATCCGTCAGCTCTGATCCCCCTAAAACACCCGTGTGCCTGCCCACAGTCCTCTGGCGGTGGCTGGGGAGAGGAGTGTGTCTGGCCACAGGTGAGTTGTGTTTTTCTGAACCTTGGCTCTTGGAGGGTGGCTGCAATACCCCAGTCTGGCTTTGGCAAGGGGTAGCATCGCTGCAGTTGTCTCCAGATGCATCAAAAATTTATTCTATGTGAGGCGTTCATAGGAGAGCAAAGAAAGAAAAGGTGAAGGCAAAAATATAAACAGTAGAGCACAGGAGCCTGGAGAGATTTCATCTCAGAAAACGCAAACAGTGACAGATGGCACTGAGCTCCAGGACTTTCGTCTCACGGTAGGTGTGTGTACATACCTGGCCGTATTTGCCTGCGTTACAATTTTGGGAATGAACCCAGTCGTTTTGCTGTGCTACAAGGACGTCAGCGATCCAAGCCTGACCAGCTTTTTGGTTTCACACTGGGAAAACATTACAGAAGAGCGTGATACCTGCAGGGTGTGTGAGGAGGACCCGCAGCTGGGGGGGTTGTTTTGCTGTTCCAGGTGAAATGACAAGGTGGAAGGAGCGGCTTCTCTGGAGCAAACCGAGGAAGGGCTGCAGGCAGGAAGCCAAAGCTTTTGCCTCATGAATTTGATAATTTCACATGGACTGCATGGCACCTGAGGTGGCATTTTCTGTGCCCAGACCAGGCACGGCGAGGAGCAGGCAGGCAGGAGGGAGGGAAGCTGCCCGAGGCGCTGATCGCTGCAGTGCCAAGCGAAGGCAAGGGCTTGGATCCCTTGCAGCACAGAAATACAGCACAGACAAAAAGTTTCTGCTTCATTTATTTTTAAATTGACGTGGCGCAGCTCCTAGTGGGGCTCTGGCAGGACGGCAGAGGGGACACAGCGGGTTTGTCACCCCGGTCCCAGGCGCTGCTTGTGAGATCTGTGAGCGAGGAGACAGAGCTCCAAGAGAATAACAAATTTGCTCTGAAGCCTTTAAAAGGGGGAGCTATGCAGCTGCAGAGAGCTCATTATCTACCTTTCCTAATTAAAGCACAAGTTCCCAGCCCAGCGATGGCCCACCAAGTGTATTGATTTCGGCACAGGCAGTCCCTAATGAAGAGCGGGCGATGCCCAGCCAGCGCTGCCAGACGGGTAATGATGCCCCTTGTCAGCCAAGCCATCACAAGTACGCTTCCTAAACCATCAGCACTGCTAAAAACAGCAAATTAGAGAGATTTCCTTCCATCGGCAAGGCTCCGGCCTGGATACAGCCATCGGGAGGCCTCGAGGTGGCCCTGTCACAGCTCCGAGCCACCAAGGGCCGCAGCGAGGTGGGTTTGGGAGCCCAACACAACTCCATCAGGGCACTGCTGTGGGCTCACGGGGTTATAAACCACCCGGGTAACATCACCAGAGAATCTGCAGGCCCGGGAGTGCAGAAGACAGCGTTTGGTGACAGCTCTCCCAAACGCTCACGGAGCACCCAGCCGTGGTGCCTGGGGGCAGCCGTTTGCGGCAGTGTCTGTAGCTGCTCCCTGCCATAGATCCTCATTGAATTTCTCCAGTTGCTTATTGAAGCCGTGGATATTTATAGCTTCCCCGGTGCCCCGTGAGGAGTCCCGCAGGGCAGGAGGATTTTGCATAAGCAGCATGTGAAGAGGCACTTTTTTCTCCCCTTTGGATGTTGGTCTGTGTGCGACCGCGTGAGAGCAAACCAGAAAATGGGCATTGATCACTGAACCAAGGGCTGCAAAATGCCAATGTAAATGCACACGCTGGAGTCAAATCGATAGTCCTAATGCCGCCTGCAGCCAAACAACCGGCCCCTCTCAGCTGAAGAAATCCATCCTCAGCAAGGGGAGCCTTGGCAAGGCTGGCGTCTTGCTTAAAACCTACAAAAATGCATGAAAACAGCATGGGTGAGGAAAAAAATAATATTGGAAAAATAAGATCAAGGCGGGTTTTTATTTTATTTTATTATTTTATTTTATTTTATATTTTCTTTTTCATATTATAAGTCAGACAGAGAGTACTGCACCAGGACACGTACACAGGTGATGCCTTTGTTCTTCTCCAGTCACCAGAGCAAGCCAGGAGCTGCCACCAAGCACCTCTTGGCCCCATCCATGGTAGGAATTCCTCATGGTAGGAATTCCAGAAATGGAAGGGCGCTTCCATTTGTTCTTCCATCTGCTTCCATGTGTGGCTACCTCCAACACCCGGTGCCATAGGACTCTGAGGTCGGTGTCCATGCATGGGTGCAATGGGCCCCAGGGAGCCACTCCTGCTGCAGAAATCTGGCCAGGTTTGCAGCTCTGGAGTTGTTTTCCTGATTTTACTGTGCATTTGCTTACGAACCAATTTGATGATTCACGGTGGAATTTTCTGTTCTGCAACCTAAGAACATTGAGAGTCTCAATTTGAATTTGAATTGGAAATCCCCACATGGGTTTCCTGAGTGGCTTTGCATCCAAATGAGTGTTTCCTTCTCCTGCCATGCATCATTACGTTCCTGGTTCTGGAAGCAGGACTGTTTGTATCAACGGCATGCCTAATTGCGGAGAAAAAAATCACTCAGCTCATGATTTGGACGGGGAAAAGGGTTCTGGACTTTTCCTTCCTAACTCTGGCATGGCTGAGCTCTGGATTTAATTGAGAAGCACGCGTGAGGCGAATAGCATCACAGACATCAGAAGGGATGGGAGTTTAAGGTACAGTTCCTGGGTGTTTTTATACCTTCCCCCCCAGGTACAGCATTAAGGACACGAGCAGGCATCTCCACTGCTTTCTGAGCTGCTGGCTGGCAGGAAACAATCCCTCCAGGGTGTCCCTAAGAGCAGAGTGTTCTTGTCACCAAGAGCTTCACATGACAAAGGATATTTGTCAAGTCTATGATTTTTCCAGCACTCACCTTATTTCCTCACCTCACCAGGTAAGGCAGAGCACACAGGTTGTAAGTCTGCTGGCCTCCCCAGGAGCTGGGAGAGTTTTGGATTTCAGTAATTAGAAAGAAATGGTTTCTTTACACTGCTGTGGTTTCTGCAACCATAACATTGTGATTAACAACAGAAGAGCTATACCCACCCCCGTAAATTTAAACATTTAAACTGCATCGCTCCAAGCTTCCCTAGCGTGTAGCATCAGTTTGGAGCCTCACCAGCACCCCGGGCAGCAGGTGGCTGCCACCAGCTTGTGGCCCTGCTGCTAAACCCCGCTGTGCTGCTGGCTCAGCCGCTTGGTTTGCGCTGGGTCACGCTGCTTCTGCTTTTTAAAAACCATTTAAAGAGCCCAGTGGCCAAGCACCCATCGCACCCTAGATGTGATTTTGTGATTTCAATTTTTTTTAATCTTTTATTTGTTTTTTTTGTTTTCTCCCAGTTTGTAAATGTGTGCTGGCCTGGCGTTTTGGGCTGAATTCCCTCTGCCCCTGGCCTTGCTCCTGGCAGGGGCTGTGGCTTTTGGGCACTGGAAGGACCTTGCTGCCTCCCAGCTCTGCACACGAGGGATCTTTTCGATCCTCTCGCTGCCTTGCAGGTCTCCCCTCATCCCCGAGGCTGCTCTCCAGACCCTGCATCATTCGTGCCCCTTCTGAACTACGGACAAAAGGACTGCAGCCGCGAGGGCTGGGACACGGTACCCACTCCTCCAAGCACAAATCACCAAGCACCAAGCTAATTACAGCCCACCCCAGCCCTCTCCTGCCCCATTCCTCCCCCTCCGCGGGGGATGCTCGGAGCACAACGCGGGATGCGGGGCGTGCCCGGGGGGCGTGCCCAGGCCCTGGGCGTGTCCTGGGCGTGGTCCTGGGGGGGTGGCCAAGGGGGGGGCGCGCCCTGCCCGGGGCCGCGCCGCGCCGCCCCTGCCGCCGGCTCCGCGTGGGTGGCGGCCGCGCACAGCGGAGCCTCCGCGCCCGCAGAGCGGCGGCGCCGTGCGGGGCTGTTTCGAGCCGTGCCCAGCTGAGCTGAGCCGATCCGAGCCGTGCTGAGCCCCTCCGAGCCGTGCCGAGCCCCTCGGAGCCGTGCGCGGTGCCGTGCCCGCGGTGCCGTGCCGGGCGGTGCGGGGCGGTGCGCGGAGCATGTCGGCGCTGCGGCGCAAAGCTGGGGGACGATTACCAGGTGGTGAGCACCTCGGCCAGCGGAGGGGGGCTGCCGCCACCCCGGACGGCCCCCCGGGGGAAGAGGCAGCGCTTCGTGGACAAGAACGGGCGCTGCAACGTGCAGCACGGCAACCTGGGCGGCGAGACCAGCCGCTACCTGTCCGACCTCTTCACCACGCTGGTGGACCTCAAGTGGCGCTGGAACCTCTTCATCTTCATCCTCACCTACACCGTGGCCTGGCTCTTCATGGCTTCCATGTGGTGGGTGATCGCCTACATGCGGGGCGACCTCAACAAGGCGCACGACGACAGCTACACGCCCTGCGTGGCCAACGTCTACAACTTCCCCTCCGCCTTCCTCTTCTTCATTGAGACCGAGGCCACCATCGGCTACGGCTACCGCTACATCACGGACAAGTGCCCCGAGGGCATCATCCTCTTCCTCTTCCAGTCCATCCTGGGCTCCATCGTGGACGCCTTCCTCATCGGCTGCATGTTCATCAAGATGTCCCAGCCCAAGAAGAGGGCCGAGACCCTGATGTTCAGCGAGCACGCGGCCATCTCCATGCGGGACGGCAAGCTCACCCTCATGTTCCGGGTGGGCAACCTCCGCAACAGCCACATGGTGTCCGCGCAGATCCGCTGCAAGCTGCTCAAAGTAAGTCCCCGGGGACACCCCCCTGTCCTCCTCCGTGCCCCGCCGGAGCTGCCGAGCAGCCTTTGGGCAGGGAGCATCGCTGCTGTCCCCTGCCTCCGTGTGCCCGCGGTGCTCGTCGCGCTCAGCCGTCAGGCACCAGACTTACACGCACCCGTCCATCTGGTTACCCACAGCCCTATAGGATAATGTTTATGTGCTGCGCTGTTTTATATGCATGTCTGTATAAAATGCTCGGTTTCTTCCCTGAGAGGTAATATGTTGTAGCTGGAACTCCTCGCTGTGCATTTCGGAAGGAAGCTGTGTGCCCTCCTGCTGTGTTTCTGTGCTCCCGGCCAGCGGTGTGTCCCGACGGGCTGAACTCCATTTACGTGGTGCATGAACTTCACCGAAAGCAGAATGTCGGGGTTACACATTTTAAAATCATGCTAGCAGCCCCGCATGTCTGAGGAAACTAGGGTATTTGTCTGAGACTTATTGCCAGCCTTTTATTTATAGGGGAGCGGAAGGAAATGTGGAGCGGGTGGCATGGGGACGGCTCGGGTGACTGTTTGGTGTGTGCAGAGCATCCTGCACATTGCCCCGGGCTGTGGGATGTGGGAGCTGTGTGCCTGGGAGTCCCTTGGGGGCATCCCAATTCCTTCCCTGCTGCCCTGCACAGGGAGGCTCTTGCCCCGTCTGCTGTACCCAGGGTCCAGCGAAGCCCAGGTACATTTTTTTTTTTAGGGGCAAGATTTGTGTTGTTTTGGCCCAAATAAGTGTTTCTGCCGGGGTTTGCAGGCAGGATCCTCGCTGTTTTTGCTGAGCTCTGCAGGACCCCCACTGCATCCTAAATAATGGGGGAGTCCGTGGCCCAGAGGCTTGCCCTTGCCTGCAATTTCCGTGGAGTCATGGGGGACACAACAGGAATTAAAACATCTGCACAATTCCTCTCGTCTCCTTCCTACCAGTGCCCGGCTGATTTTTGCAGCTCGGGACTGACATCAGTGGGGATGCTCTCACTGCAGCTGACCTGGAAGCATCTCTTCCCGTTCTCTTCTTCTTGAGTAATCAGCTCAGGCTGCGGTTACGTTCTCCTGATGTGAGCTAACGCCGCTTGTTTCCTCGCAGCCGAAGTTTAGGTGGCTAAATTGAATTATGTGCAATTAGCCTGGTAAGTAATCATCCAGTCTTTAGAGGGCACCACAGTGACCCCTCAGCTGCCTTGCCTGCCGAGGCCACGCTGGCCGGGGAGGGTTGGGACTGCCGCATTTAACGAGCATCTTTAATAGCTTTCAGGAATCAAAATGAGTCATTTCTATTACGGGCCTAAAAAAAAAAAATAGCCCTTTTTGTATCTGTGCGGTGCCTCTGATGGAATTTTAGAAGTTAGAGCTTAAAACTTAGCGTGGCTCCACCAAATTTCCTGAACTTTAAATGCGTGGAAGGCTGCCTTTATGGATGAAGTCCCGTATTCGTGTTCTGTCATAATGCTGGAGTGACAGGGCTGAAGGGTTTGCAGCTGTTTTGTTTCTTTTTTTATTAAAAAAAAAAAAAAGTAAGAAAACCAGAAGAGCCCAGGGAACCTCGGCATAGCAGCAGTTCAGACAAAGCAAGCTGGCAGTGCTCAGGGACGTAATTTGTGTTGTAAAAAAGCTCCTCTGTAGGAGCTCTGTGCGCGGGCAGGTATAAATGGGTAGCGAGAGGGAGAAGAGCAATAAAGGGCTAAAAGGAGGCTCTCCGGTGGATGCAGTTGCCAGCCAGCGCTGCACATCACCTACCAAATTTCTCCGCAGGGTGCAGTCCTCACGCTGCGCTGGGGAAGCGGTGCCTGGCCAGGCTGCTGCCCGGGGAAAAAATAAAAGGAAAAAAAATAAATGAAAAAAGAGGAAAATCCAGGATTGCAGCAGGGGAGAGCAGGGTGCTGCTGTGCAGGGGCAGGGCTGTGCAGCTGAGGGCTGTCGCTGCTCCGGGTTTTCTCGCTGGTTGCACGCCCGTGGGTGCTGGCACGGAGGAGAGCTCGTCCCATGCTGGATGCCCGGCTGACTCCCATGGGTGCACCCTGCCTCGTGTAGCACCCTGTGTGCCAACGCCACCAGGACAGCCGCAGGGCTGGCACACAGCTCCTCGTGGGTGCTGCTTCTTAGTGGGGTAACAGCTATGGACAACTGGAAATCCTGCTGGAGTTCTGGGTTTCTGTTTTTTTTTCCTGGGAAGACCATGCTGGAGAAAAAAAATAATAGAAAGCCATAAAGCTGGCAACTTCATGCAAAGACTCATTCATTGGAATAATCATTTTGCCAAATGGGTCTCCAAGATTGTGAGCAACTTGGAGAAAACTTAGATGTGCGGATCTGTGCATGGCACAGCCAGAGGAGTCACTCAAGGTCAGTTCTTCCACAGGTGTAGTGTCTAGGGCAGCAAAATATTAAATAATTTTATATTTAAAATATAAAATATTAAAATATAAAAATATAAAGCCAGGTTTTGCACCCTGGCTTGTGCTGAGCACTGCCTGTTACTCAGGTGTAGAACAATCTGTGGTTTGTAGCAGTTCAGCTCCCAACCTTTACCTGGGCTCCCCTGGAGGAGAGGCAGCCCCAGTGCCCGTGCCCACCGCACCGCTGGCAGATGTGGCTCCGACCACCAGTGCTTAGGGCTGCCCTGGTGGTCCCTGATGGATGTCATGGCACTCAGGGGGAACGTGCCAGTGCCGACAGACTGCGGCAGCGGCACAGCTCTGGGGCGCCAGGCAACATCCCGCCCATTTTTAACCTTTTTCCCCTCATTTTCTTCCCCCATCCGCATTTCATGCCTGTTCCCCCGGACTTTTCTTTTGCCGTGTCCCTCAAGCACTGAATTCTCTCTAACACCCATATTTTATCAACTTTCTGTCTGTTAAGATGCCCATTATGTTGTCATTTTTTTTATTGCAAAATAGTTCCCGCTGCTTCACCATCTCCTGCGGCCAACCCACGTTGGTCAGGGTTTGGGTGCTTGCTTCAGGCCAAGCTGTCAGGGAGCTGCCCTTGGCTCCTGCTTGGAAAAATGCCATGAAAAGCTCCCCTGAGGCTGGAAGGTGGCACCGAAGGCTGAGAGGAGGCAGCGGAGGGGGCTCACAGAGGTTTGCAGCTGGACCTTCCCCTGCTTCTCCCGGCTCCGCTTCCCGCGTGGCGGTGCGGGAGGTGTGGGTGCAGGAGGTCCTGTGGCAGTGGTTCCCTCCTGGTGCTGCTCCTTGCTCTCTTTACGGGCCACACTCATTGCTGGGCTCGTGTCTTCGTCCTTTAGCTGCAGAGGCAGGGCCCCAGCAGGCTGGTGTGCACTCCTGGGGTGTCTCAGCCTGGTGCCCTGGTGTGACACCGCGAGGTGTTCGGACACTGGGGGCACAGCCACGAATCTGAATTTGTGCACACATAACTTAAAGCCCATTTCCTAGCTGGAACCCCAGGGCACTGGAAGAGGTTATTGTTTGCTTGGGATTAGATCTCCTTCCAACCCAACCACCATTCAGTGAATATTTTAAAAATAGAAGCCAAATCCCAAGCGAGGCGCGTAATCCCATTTTGCCCGGTCTGCTTCCTTTTCTCGTGGTTTCCCAGCCGATCCCCACCCAGCGCTGCCCTGCCAGGCGCAGTGTGCCACGGGGGGCGCTGAGCTTGGGAGTGATTTTTGTCATGGGCTTGCTGTGTAGCTGTTGAAATGTGGTTTATAATGTCTTGGTGGACAGCGGTAACTACAGCAGTGACAGCTTTTCTGGCCTTTTTTTTTTATATATTGATCTAAATGACAGTGATGTCAAAACCGTCTTGGGAAACCCTATGTTGGGTGGGTGTTGGTGTTGTTTGGCAGCGCCGGGGGGGCCTCGCTTTTTGGGGAAGCTGGTGGCTGCCATAAGATGCCCTGACTGCTCTCTCTGCTCTCCCCCCGCTGCCTCTCCAGTCCCGCCAGACCCCGGAGGGCGAATTCCTGCCTCTGGACCAGCTGGAGCTGGACGTGGGCTTCAGCACGGGGGCCGACCAGCTCTTCCTCGTCTCGCCGCTCACCATCTGCCACGTGATAGATGCCAAGAGCCCCTTCTACGACCTGTCGCAGCGCAGCATGCAGACGGAGCAGTTCGAGATCGTCGTCATCCTGGAGGGCATCGTGGAGACGACGGGTGAGTGGCGGCGGCTCCAGGCGAGCCAGATGTTGCCAACGCTTCCAGGCGGCCCAAGGCTTGGTTTCACTCGGAGAGAAAACATTTGAGGGATTTTTGGGGAGCGTGGTTGTTCCCAAGGCTGGTGACAGCAGAGAGGAATCGCTGGTGCTTTTCAAGGAAACCTCCTGCTCTTTGCATAGCTGGATCTAGTAAGGGTTTCAGGGCTGACACACAGACCAGAGGACTCTAGTTTGTTTTTTTTTTGTTGTTTTAACAGAACTGTTTTAAACACAACTGGTTGCAGAAAAGGAGTTTTGTAAATACCTCGTTACAATTCTAAAACAAAGTCGTGTGGTGGTACACTTCTGGGTTTATTTTTGTAAATGTTTTCAGTGTCGACGTTATACACAGAACAAGGGAAGGAGGGATTTTCTGAATCTGTCAAGCCAAACTCATGGAGGCTTGCAAATGCTGTGACCTAGTTTTATAAAATGAGATGAATATTGGGTAAAATAGAGCACAGTAATTCTATCTTGATGAAACACGGAGGGATGAAAGGTTTTAAAAAAAAATAAAAATCATTAGAAATGTGAGTAAAGGAGAACGGAGGAGAAAGAGACCCGAGGGGCAACCTTGCCCAAAGGGTGCCCATATTTTAGGGGAGGAGAGGCGGGTGCTGTGTGGGGTTGCTGCACACTTTGGGGCCACCCTTGGCCAAGCACCTGCAGGATGCCAGTGCCTGATGGAGCTGAAGCCCATTGACATAACCCCTGGGTAAAGCAAAGTGCATGGGCCCTGTCGGCAGGGAGCCTTATGCAAGCTGTTACTGTGCGTGGAAACGCTGTGCTGCAGAAACCTTCCCCCTAAGCTATCCTCAGTTAGGTTTGCGTCTAGCAGCCCGCAGTCACCCTAGAACAGAAGCAATAATTTGAAGGGAATTATAATATTTATAATTATTTATAATTTAATATATATATTTAATATATACAATATATAATATAATACTTATAATATTTATAATTATTATAAATATTTAAAAAAATAATAACTCGCAGCGTGCTGTGTTGGACTTCTTGCAGCAGAAGCTGGGGGGGAGCTGGCTCCGTGCTTCCTTCCCTCCCAGCGTCCAGGTGCCCTCGCTGCAGAGTGCAAGCCAGTGTCAGAAGGCAACCCGAGTTTTCAATGTCTGCTGGCGCGGAGGGAACGGCGAAACTGCGGAGACCAGAAATAACTTGCAGTTGTTTAGAAACCAGGGTGCTATTTTCGGGTCGGTGTAAAAACGCTGCCTGTTTTTCAGTTTGTCTGTGAAAGCCAGTCATGAATGCTGAAGATTTATTTTTTTTTCCAGTTAATTCAGATTGCGTGCAGCTGGAAGGAGAGCTGTGGTGTGCTGGTGGGTCTCACGGGGCTGGGTGAGCCCCAGTTGTGCTGTGTGTGGTTCGGGGAGACCGGGCTGATGGTGGATGTGTGGGCTGCAGGAGGCAGGCTGCAGGGAGAGCAGATAAACCCTGGCTGATTCGCAGAGGGATTTTTGAAGGGATATTTGTGGTTGCAGGGACCTGCAATGGATGGGATGGGTCTGGGAGCCCAGCACAGGGCTGCTCTGTGCCAGCCCAGGGGTCAGGGCAGGGGCTGGCAGCTCAGCCTGTGCCACATGTGGGCACTTCTGGGCTCTCTTCGTACTGCTGGAAGCGCTGCTTAATTTAATTACGGATGCAACCTGTGTGCAGCCACCCATTACCCTTCTATCAGTTTCTGCATGAAAGACGTGATCCTTATTTTATATCTTTAAATAATATGAAATGCAGATGCCCCGAGGAGCTGAGGCTGCCCCATCCCTGCGGTGCCCGAGACCAGGCTGGGGGGGTTTGGGCAGCCTGGGCTGGGGGAAGCCAGCCCCAAACTGCTCTGCAGCTCTTTGAATTGGATTTTAAAGCTTAGAAGACTGTAATTCAATACTAGAATGCCACGAAGACGGATGAATTTGGGGACTGTCCTTTGAGATACACCTGGACTTCAGCTCTGGCATCTCTCTGTGAAAGCAGCTGATTCCACTGGGATGTGGATGGGGACGGTTGGACCAGGTGATCTTGGAGGTCTTTTCCAACCTTAATCATTCTGTCATGTCTTCGTTCCCAAGCACTGTAATGTGTGCTGAGCTTTTAGGAGTAACTTTCCCCCAGCATCAGAGGCGTTATTTTGCTCCTGTGCTGTGTCTCCTGGCTTGAGAAGGCAGCTCAGAGGAGCTCAGAAAACAACGTGATTCTCAGTGTTGTCATTCAGCAACCATCTAATACAGATAATTCTCTAAAGTCGCCGTATTATTTTCTGGTTTTGTAATTTTGTCCTGAAGAGCTTCAGGACGGTGGAGGTGAGTGGCTTTCTGCAGGCCCCAGAAATGCAGTGCAGAACTGCGCTCGCTGCTTCCCGCCCTGGCCCTCGCGGTGCAGTGCAGCTGAGCAGACCTTGCCAGGGTTGTACCAGGGGAATATTTGCTGCTGATCATTTGTAGCACATTTAACAAGAGGCTTTGATATTCATCAGTTCTGCAGCTTCCAGAGTTTTAAACGGAGATGTAGTGCTTGCTGCCTATGTTCCTGCTTTGTTTTTCAAGTAAATTATTTTCTGTGTGTGCCCGAGAGTGCTGCGGGATTGTGCTCGGATCCACAGCATCCCTTGTCATTAACCGGGTGCTGACGCACGTGGCTTGTGTCTCTTGGAGATCTGCTGGTCCCAAAGTCAGGAATTAGACAGCAGGCAAATAATAGTAAATAGCAAAAATATTTGTTTCATGACATCCTCTTCGCTGCGCTTCTATTTGTATTGACACGCCAGAAGCGGCCTTTGGTCTGAAGGAGAGCAAAGTGAGAATGAGAAGGTGCAAAACAAACACAGAGTGTGGCTCAGCAGAGGGAAACTGGGAGATAAGGAGAGGCACTGGAGGGATCAGTGGGGTTGATTCAGGGCCCTTTACGTGTTTGGTGTTTTGAAATGCTTCAGCCTTGACCTGTTCTGTAACTCGTGATTCCAAACCTACGCTGAGCAACCCAGTGGGGTCTGGTGCGTGCCGTGGTCTCGGCTGCCTCCTGGGCAGTGCAGGGATTCCTCCCACAGCTCTTCGTCGTGAAAATTGCTACGAGGGGAAGGAAGCCTTTGCATGCCCTCGTGCTGCAGGGCTGCACTCTCTGGACCTGTCATTAGGCTTACTAAGGCGAGAACTGTGCCTCCCTGTGCCCTTAGTGAAGCTGGGCACGGTGCATCTCACAGCGGTGCTGAGCATCTCTCTGCTCTAATCCACGTATCTGTAAAATAGGAATTCAGCACTCCTGATGGCGTTTGGCCTGTGTCATGCTCATGCTTTTGATCAGGACGTGGAGCCTCTTGGTTTTCTCTAGCAGGTGCTTATGAAGTCTTTTTTTCTTTGACTTTGTTTTCTGTGTTCAACTTTTGATATGCAATGCTACCAAGGGGGGCAGAGGATTAGGAAATGTATACAATAAATTTTGTGTTGACTGTCTGCAGGGACGGTAAAGATTTCTTGGAGAAGTTTAATGAGTTGTTTAAGCAGGATCTTCTCGCTTGTAAGTCCCACTTGGCTGATTAAAATCACCGTTTCCGATGCCTTCTCTCATTAAATCATATGAAAATGATCTCTCATAGATACCTCCCAACTTGATTAAATTAATTTACTGCCTAGTCACCGAAGTTTTAATTTCCAGAAATGTAAACATTTCCTTCTGCTTTCCGTGCCCTCCACTGGAGCTTGCAGCTTGCTTAGATAACAATGCGTGATGTATTTTTCAGGTTCCCAAGGGCTAAGGTAAGGTGCTCCCCTGCTCCACAGCTCAGGAAGATGGGAGGCAGAGGCTCAGCCCTGGAGGCAGCAGGGCTGGAGGTGTCCCTCTCCAGCAGGCCCTTTCCCTCAGGGAGCAGAAGACAAAACATCTCAGCAGATGCATTTCCCAGTGCCTGTTTTCCCTCCTCCCATCGGTTCCACCCAGGCTCGCCCCACGGAGCCCTCCCATGGGTGCCCACCCTGGCACCTGGGGGCTCCTGCTCCCCTCGGCACCTCTGGCGTGAATTGTAGGTGGAAAACTCGTGCCCTGGGACTGCCACAAAGACCGAGCCCTGGAGTGCTCCCTGCAAACATCCGAGGGTGCTGGGGCAGGCTCTGGGTCTTTGGTTATTTCGGGGTCTTGGCCCGCTGGCTAGCGATGGAGGAGTTGAGTAGCTGGAATGCTCGAACGGCTTTTCTAAATTCAAAGATGGTTATGATTCATAAGGGTAATTGCTAATCATTTTGAATTATTTTTGATACATATCCAACCCCTCCATTATTATGATAGCATATAATTTTGAAGAACACTCAACGCGTTTATTTTCACAACCTATTGTCCTGATCTCACATTGTTGTGATGGAGAATTCGCGGCTCCATTGTCAGCCCTGGAACAGCAAAACTTGCAGGTGCTGGTGGAGGGGAGAACAAGTTTTGACTCTTATTCTGCAGTCCCTTTAAGGGTCCTTGCCTCCGTCTGTATTTAGGAACACAAAGCCTTTTAAAATTGGAGCATTATCCTGCGACTTACTGATAAGCGGCGGAAATTGCTAAAAGATGATGAACTGTTAATAAGAACGTACAGAAACCTGGCAGGAATGGTGGATGAATCCATTTTCAAAACTCATTAAGTGTTATTTTGAAAACCTTTTAACACCATTTTCTGATTAAAGAAATCAAACAGCTTGCCATGCTTTTTAATTAAATAAGTAGAGAATGGAATCAAAGACATATCTCACTGTTTTTACCTTTAAAAAGAGGAATAGCTTAAATTATGGAAATGTGGGTCTTCGTAGAAAGGTTTCTCTCAGAAATGGATACTTGTGAATGATTTCAAACACGAAACAACTTGAGTGAACAAAGAGCTGTAATACAAATCTGAAAGCTGGTGTGATTTAGATAATTTCTAGAGCTATTTAAAAACGTTTTTCCTATGCATTATTCTCAAGGTCACTTAGCTGT